CCTCCCCACAAACCAGTAAATATCGGAGCAAAGAAAACGCCTGCTGAGTATGACTTTCGTACTCTAAGCCTATTTCTTAAAAGTGCATTACATTACGATAGCCGTTCTGCTCAGATTTCCGTAAATTGACACTTCCAAGACGGCTGAATTCTGCAAGCGGAAAAGTAGGGCAGAGTTTTCGTTACCATCACCACGCTGATGTTTCCAATTTGCATTCCGTAAGCACTTGATTTACTCGTGACTCCTTCCAACAAATGAGTACACGACAGGTTCAATGAACATAGCCGATCTTAAGTGCTGACACAAACGACATCACAATTCTGGGCTCATTGTTCGGGGGACAATACCTTATTTAGGCTTATCAGAGGCCAATTAGTATTCTTGCTCTATTTCTCTTGATGATGGTACTACAGTCTATCCGATTCCCCACCAGGATCCGATTATTCCGATTGGACTAATTGAATAAGTGTCTACCTTACTTAAGATCAGCACCAGTGTACTTACCGGCTATTCCACTGCACGCAAGCGGCCACCGGCCCGTCTGGTCATTAGTATGCCATTAACCAATTAAGTCGAAAGTCTGTTAATCCGCACTGGGCAGGGTAATCCGGTACTCCTGGTCAGTGAAGTGTCTACGAAGGTGCCCCTCGCCGAGCGTTTCCTTGACTGACTATTCAGCTGTGGCCTCTTCCTGAAACAAGCATTGAAAATAACACTGGTGATCTGACAAAAGAACAAATCGGGAAACTGACTAGATCAAAACTCAAACTTCTGAAAGTTGGTTTAAGTGTGTAACTAACTGCAACAACAACAACAAAAAACTGGTGTACCTACAAGGGCGACTTAAAAAAGGAAAAGCGTGAGAAAGACCGGGTGTTCATGTAAAACACGTGTACGTCGGAGGACATGTATCTAGGAACAATATTATGTATTTAGCTCATGAGTTTTACTACTAAAGAGCTTGCCGTCAGTTTAATCATCAAATAGGTTTATATTCTAGCTGTCATTGCTTCAAACCCTCAAAGACACGTACTTAAACGTAGTTTGTTTTGCGAGTTTCCAGGGCTTTAAGTCTAAATCTGCTTGGCTTGGTTCTATCGGAGACGGGCGTGCATAAAACCACGTTCTACTACAGTACTATTAACACTAATGTATCTGCCAAGTACCAGGAGCATTACAATGAAATTGCATGATGTCTTTACCCTTGTTTGTTTGCTTTTGTAGGTGTTTTACGGCGCTCGCAACTGCATAAGGTCATATGAGCGTGCTGGACACATTAAACTTTTTCAGTTGGTAGGATATTTTGAATTTTGCCCGGGTGGCGGCCGAAGCCTACTCTTATCGATTTTAGACCACCAAGGGATCTTTAATGTGCGCAACTTGCACATGGGGCCCTCCGAGATTCTTCGCCCTTGTCCGAGAAGGCTAGGTGTAGATCTTTCCTACCAGAAGATCAGAGGTGTGGCTGAAAGACGGCAGTAAGAAGAAACCAAGGAGTAGCAGTAGAAAGGGTGTAAAAAGAATCAGGAGCCCAGAGGAGGGGGGCAAAGGAGATGAGGGCATGGGGGCAGAAAGAGGAGACGAAAGCAGACGACAGAACATTGCTAGAGAGCAGGAAAGGAGGTGAAAGGAGACAAATTTAGAGAGGAAAATTTTTCGGTCACTTCCCGAATTCGAACCCGGGACCTTTGAATGAAAGGCCAGCACCTTAACCTCTAGGCCATGAGAGCCCCCTGTCTTTACCAGAATGAGGATTTTGTTGTTCAAGTTTTTAAAATCACATCGAAGCAATCAAGTCAATTTGTATAAAGGGAAGGGAAAAAAGAAGACTGATTGAAAGAAACAACAGACAAAAAGTAACGGAGCAGGACCAAACAGTGGCACCCTCCAACCATTCTCACAGAGAATAAGAAAAAAAACCAATTTGCTGAAAAATAAATCGGGACGAACATCAGCAACA